TCAACTTTTCTGATATCTGCTTTCCGCCAGGGCAAGCGCAGATGTCTAGTGGGCAGACGTGCACTGTGCACTCCTCACATTGGCTAACACAGCTGTATAGCACACGTCCTATTACTACAGGCAGATACATACAGTTGTGCTCAAAAGTTTGCATAGCCTGACAGAAATTGAGAAATTTTGGCATTGATATTGGAAAAATGATTGATCATGCTAAAAAAAAGTCATTTATTTAAAGATAGTGATCATATGAAGCCATTTATTCTCATACAATACGCTGATATCTGAACAACAATTAGCTGTATGATCGAGATGCCATAAATAAGCCTTTACTACGCCAATGCCACAAAAAGGATGGTTAACAATATGCCCAACAACAGCTTGACATGCTTCCCCTGGATTTTTGTTGCATTGGAACAGTAAAGGCTTCTTTCTGGCAACCTGACTATGCAGCTCATTTTTGTTCAAGTATCGTCATATTGTGCTCTTTGAAACAGTTACACAGTCTTTTTCCAGAGTAGCCTGTATTTCTCCTGAAGTTACCTGTGTGTTTTTTTTTTGTATCCCAAACAATTCTTCTGGCAGTTGTGGCTGCAATCTTTCTTGGGCTACCTGACTTTGGCTTGATATTAAGAGATCCACAAATGTTCCACTTCAGAATAAGTGATTGAACAATAATAACACTGGTTTTGGATATATTTTTGTATCCTTTTCCATCTTATAAAGCTCCCGTACACAGGCCTTTTGATAGTTCTTTTCTGCTCCCCATGGCTCAGTATCTAGCCTGCTCAGTGCATCCATATGAAAGCTAACAAACTCATTAAGTATGTATACATGAACACTAACTGTGATTTAAAAAGCCACAGATGTAAGAAATTAAACTTCAGTTGCCATTTTAACCTGTGTGTCACCTTGTGTGTCTGTACCAAGGCCAAACAATCCAGGGTATGTAAACATTTGATCAGGGTCATTCGGATGATTTCCATTATCATTATGATTTAAAGAGGTGCAAATCAACTACGTGCTAATAAACAGTTTCATATGATCATTATCCTTAAATAAAAGAGAGTTTTTTAGTATTCTCAGTCATATTTTCAATATCAATGCCAAAATTTCATAATTTCTGCCACGGTATGCAAACTTTTAAGCAAACTGTACATGGCAGTGCCTTAGATGAGACCGGCATCAGGACAGCCTGGCCTCCAAGGTAATTACAGGGGTGGTGGGAAGGGATAAAAGATGTGGTCATGCAAACAACTCTGAAATACAGAAAGGAGCATCAGACCAAAACCGGATAAAATATCATTTTAATTCTTGGTAAATACTATAATAATAATCATATAATTACTGTTTTATTTGATTATTAACCAACAATTAAAATGATCTTGGACCTTTTCATTTGTTTAGGTCTGACATCCCTTTCTGTATTTCTATGGTTTGAGCTACTGTAGGGTGCCCATTGAGGGAAGCCTTGCTTTGTGAGAGCCACCTTGCCAGAGGTGTTGAGCTTGTTTGAGGTTTTCCTTCATATAATTTTACGTGCAGGTTTGAAAGTTCCCAGCACCTCTTTGAGTATGTTGTTCAGGAGGCCTTGCAAAAAACCCTGGCATTACCTCTTTACTAAGTTCTATAAATTACAGCTGAAGATCCCATTTCCTAAATGAAATATCCATATTTAAACATACTGTTTGCTATCAGAACCTTTTTTGGTGACAAAGTGTTTTCATCAAGAACATATGTGCCCATGGTTGCCTTTATCTGTCAAAAATAGAAGGGGTGTATAGGCAGGTGCAGTCTGTTTTCTTCACTGTAGGTGGCACTCGACCAATTGGTACCACAGCCTGAAGGGGAAGTCCAAGGGAAACACATTTTCTCTATGGTTTCCTTGGTCAATGGAACAGCATTACAGTTGGCTAAGCTGCAGCCATGTGACCGATGGCAGCAATCTTGGGTTAGCAAGGTTTATTTAACCACTTGCCACCCAGCCGCCGCATATAAACGGCGCCAGGGCGGTGCTCATTGGCAAAAGCACGTTTTAAAACGGCTGCCTTCAAAACAGGCAGGGGGCGCGCGCGAGGCGCGTGCCCGCCCTACCTGTCCCGCGGGTGTCAGCAGCGGATCTCCACCGCCGGGTCACGGCCGGTTTTTTACCGGCCGTTTTCCCGCGATGAGCGGTGATCACTGACACAGAGCAGGGCTGCATTGTTTACACACAGCCCTGCTCTGTGACAGTTCGCCGACAAGCTGCAGAGGGAGAGAAGAGTTTCTCTCCCTCGATCAGCTCCCCCCTCCCTCCCCCCATCCAGTACACACCCCCGTCCCCTAGTAAAACACTCCCCTTACACAGCAAATTCTAAAAATGTTAACCCCTTCCTCCCCAGTGACATTAGTACAGTTTCAGTGGGTTTTTTTCATTGATCACTGTATTGGTGTCACTGAGGATGTCAGTGACACCAAGTCAGTTCCCCCCCAGTGTCAAAATGTCTGCCGCAGTCCCGCAGTCCCGCCATAAGTCGTTGGTCGCCGTCATATGTCGCTGATTGCCGCCATATGTTGCTGATCGGCGCCATTATTAGTATAAATAAAAATTAAAAATCCCAGTATCTTTCCCGCCATTTGTAAACGCTATAACTTTCACGTAAACCAATTAATTTACACGTATTGGTTTTTTTTTAGCAAAGACATGTCGCAGAATGCATTTTGGCAGAAATTTATGACTAAATTTGATTTTTGCATTTTTTGTTTTACTGGATATGTTTTATAGCAAAAAGTCCAAAATATTGTTTTTTGTTCCTTAAAATTGTCAGCCTTTTTTTTTACAGCGCAAAAAATAAAAAACCGCACAGGCGATCAAATACCACCGAAAGAAAGCTCAATTTGTGGGGAAAAAAAAGGATGTAAATTTTATTTATGTACTGTATTGCATGACCGCGCAATTGTCCGTTAAACTAGCGCAGCGCTGTATAGCAGAAAAATGGCGTACATTGCAGTATTTATACCATAGATTGTAGACGCTATAACTTCCACACAAAGCAATCAATATACACTTATTGGGATTTTTTTTACCAAAAACATGTAGCAGAATACATTTTGGCCTAAATTTATAACCAACTTTGAGTTTACTATATATTTTTTATAGCTGAAAGTAAAAAATATTGTTTTTCTTCAAAATTTTTGGCATTTTTTTGTTTATAGCGTGAAAAAAATAAAAAGCGCACAGGTGATCAAATTACATCGAAAGAAAGCTCTATTTGTGTGAAGAAAAGGACATAAATTTTGTTTATGTACAGCATTGCATGACCGCGCAATTATCAGTTGAATTAGTGCAGCGCCGAGTAGCAAAAAGAGGCCTGGTCATTAAGGGGGGTAAATCCTCAGGAGCTCAAGTGGTTAAGTCCCTGCCTACAGGCATTTTTCAAGTGGCTACTGTAGCGAGAAAGACCCCGCTTGCTAGGTAGAGTAACTAGCAGTAGGGAAAGGTTCCAGATGAGCAGGGACAGGCTAAGAACTTGCTATTCTGAAAATGAGCCTCCCCTCTTGGGACCGGACCGGTCAAGCTGCACTTCACCCTCTGAAACAGACACTGTCAGCATCTCTCCTCAGCCAAATCTTTGACTGCATTGAACTGTGTATTATTTCCCTAAGCGGTGCTCTCCCGCCTGGGTGTTTGTAATGTTGGCATTCTGTTTAATACAAGTTCCACGTTTTACTGCAACTGGACTATGTGTATTTACTGCTCTTACCAAACTGCACCTCCCCACAGGTATTTAGTAAAAATGTGCATTAGTGATAAGCCGAACACCTCTGTGTTTGGTTCACAGTCGAACATTTGAACCTAATAAATGCTTGACTGTGAACTTCAAACTCAATGCAAGTCTGTGGGACTCAAATTTGTAAATTCAACAGTGCCCATTTTGAAGGCTTATATGCAAGTTATTGGCCATAAAAGGAGTATGGAGACTCGGGTACTGCCCTGAGAGACATGAATCAGTGAAAAAGTTCCCTTTTAAATGGGCAGTCATTTTTCATTGCTTAAAGGAAGAAAAAAAAAGAAAAATTCCTTTAAGAACCATGCCTGGGGGTCCCCTTAAACTACCTGCAAAGCTGCACATCTGTACAATGTATAGAACCTGCTGCAGCAGGACTGACATTTTTTTTTAATTACATTTTTATAACAAACAGCGTAGGGTCCCCCCAATCCATAGCAGACCCTTTAAGTCTCGTAGGAAGATTAGGAAAGACCCAACAGTAAAATATTTTTTTTTTAAAGTGCGTGGGTTTCCCCCTAAAAGCCATACCAGGCCCTTTAGGCCTGGGATGACTTTTAAGGGGAACCCCACCTCCCAAAAATGGGGGGGAAAGTGCATGGGGTTCCCCCTAAATGCCATACCAGGACCTTTAGTCTGCCCTAAATTCCTACCAGACCCTTGATCTGAGCACAGGCCTGGCAGGTCAGGAAAGGGGGGCGACGAACGAGCGGCTTACCAGGCCATGTGCCCTCAGCATTGGGACAGTGTCTCCATCAGTGGTGTATTTTGGTTTTGTGCTGCCCTAGGCAAGACTAAAATCAGGCACCCCCGCACCTAAATTTGTCCCACTCTTTCATCTGCAAACTCCACCCCTTCCTCTTTAGGCTCCACCTCTTCCTATTAGACCCATCATTAGTGTCAGTGCGTGAGGAAAAGTGCCCCATCATTAGTGTCAGTGGGAGGAATAGCGCCCCATCATTGGTATCAGTGGGAGGAATAGTGCCCCGTCATTGGTATCAGTGGGAGGAATAGTGCCCCGTCATTGGTGTCAGTGGGAGGAATAGTGCCCCATCATTGGTATCAGTGGGAGGAATAGCATCCCATCATTGGTGTCAGTGGGAGGAATAGCGTCCCATCATTGGTGTCAGTGGGAGGAATAGTGTCCCATCATTGGTGTCAGTGGGAGGAATAGTGCCCCATCATTGGTATCAGTGGGAGGAATAGTGCCCCATCATTGGTGTCAGTGGGAGGAATAGTACTCCATCAGTGTCAGTGGGAGGAATAGTGCCTCATCATTGGTGTCAGTGTGTAAGGAATAGTGTCCCATCATTGGTGTCAGTGGGAGGAGTAGTGCCCCATCATTGGTGTCAGTGGGAGGAGTAGTGCCCCATCTTTGCTGTCAGTAAGAGGAATAGTGCCCCATTTTTGGTGTCAGTGGGAGGAAGTGCCCCATCATTGGTGTGAGTGGGAGGAATAGTTCCCCATCATTGGTGTCAGTGGGAGGAATAGTTCCCCATCATTGGTGTCAGTGGGAGGAATAGTGTCCCATCGTTGGTGTCAGTGGGGGGGAGGAATAGTGCCCCATCGTTGGTGTCAGTGGGGGGAGGAATAGAGCCCCATCGAGTGTGTCAGTGGGGGGAGGAATAGTGCCCCATTGTTGGTGTCAGTGGGGGGAGGAATAGTGCCCCATCATTGGTGTCAGTGGGGGGAGGAATAGTGCCCCATCGTTGGTGTCAGTGGGGGGAGGAATAGTGCCCCATCGTTGATGTCAGTGGGGGGAGGAAAAGTTCCCCTTCGTTGGTGTCAGTGGGGGGGAAATAGTGCCCCATCATTGATGTCAGTGGGAGGAATAGTGCTCCATCATTGGTATCAGTGACACCAATGATGGGGCACTACTCCTCCCACTGACATCAATGACACTTACCTTGCTGACCCCTGCTCCAGGCTAGGCTCCTTCCCTCTCCCATCCACAGGCACACTTACCAGTCATCTGTCTTCTTCACTTGCTCCGGCCACTCCCTCACTCGATCTCCGCGCTGCTGCTCGGCTCCTCCTCTCCAAGCTCCACCTCCTCACAGGTGATTGGCCGCCTGTGTGCCTTTCCTGAGCTACAGTTCTGGCGTCCAATCACCAGTGAGGAGGCAGAGCTTGCAGAGGGAGGTACAAGCTGCCATAGGCTGTCCAGTGATCCCGAGGGTGTGGCCAGATGACAGGAGCGGCATGTCATCCCGCCCACACATCGCATCCAGGGAAATGAAGACACCGGACCTGCTGACCTCTCTACCCCTCCTCCAGCAGCGCCTCCTGGACTGGATCATCGTGGGACTGGGACACGGAGCCAGGTAAGACACAGCAGCCCGCTGCCCGCCCCTGTACTAAGTGTCCCTTCCATTGGAAGGGGGGGCGGCGGTTCCGTGCCGCCCCCCTAAAAAGTGCCGCCCTAGGAAAATGCCTTGTTTGCCTCGTGGCAAATACACCCCTGGTCTCCATGCCGATGGGGACAAGGACCTCTTCCCCACAACCCTGGCCTGGTGGATGTGGGGGTCTGCAGGCAAGAGGGGGTTCATTAGCATCAGGGTACCCCTGTAAATAAGGGGGCACCCTGATGCTGCTCCCTCCTTGTGAATGAGTAAGGGGTACTAACCTGTGGTTAGGTGCATTGCTTTGGCCAATAGTGACTCTCAGAATGCACTGTGAGAGTCCAGTGCATTGTGGGGCGTGGTGGGTGAACGACGTTACCATTCGTGTGTTCGGTGAACACATGAACGCCCGATGTTCGATTCAAACTTACGTTCGACTTGAACATCAAGCCCATTCCTAATTTCATACTGGAGTCAAAAGAAGCTGGAGTTTGTGGCTCATTTCTGAGTCTTGAACTGCCTTATCCTAACCTTTTACTAGCCCAGGGCTATTTATTTCACTGCATAGTGAGACTGGCTAGGTGCAGCAGGCACACATCCCACCAGTGGTGGCAAGCTTTTAGGGCATGCTCACATCAGGTGTGTTAGGAATGCACTGGCCAACCTTGCCTAGCACAGTCCCAACACAAGACAAAGCAAAAAGCCTTGTTCCCTGAAGACAGTCCACACCACCATGATGTACTGATGTGCACTGACAAACAGTACCGCATGCAGGTCTTTTTTTAGCGCAGCACAGAATCCAATGGAACTGAATGACATGTCTCATGCGGCCGCTGGTGTGAACAAACTATTAGCAGATTAAGTTAAACTTGTGCTTTTTACAGGTTCACTTTGAAACTGGCCTCCACAACAGCCTATATAGGGGAATGAGCAGGGGCAGACTGACTATTTGAAAACTCTGGCACTGCCCGAGGGCCCGGGGTCAGTAGGGGGCCCCATGAGATGCCCCCAGTACCTTTTTCATAGGCTTTTTTGAGTTTGGACTAGGACACAGGGGCCCCATGATCCCCTATTGCCCCATGAGTTGTCAGTCCACCCCTGGGAATGAGTCATATACTGCCCAATACTTGGAAGTTTTTTTATTTTGGCTCCCACAAAATGTTAGCTGTAGGGGCAGCATTTAAAGCGTATCTAAGCATCAAAACAAAAATGTAATATATTACAGCTTACTACCCTTGTAATTATAATAATAGAAAAAACTGCGCAAGTGTCACACATTCACAATCACGCAGAGCAGCAAACACACCAGAAGGATATCCCCCCTCAAAAACAATGTATCTAAAGAAAGTGTTGTGCTAAGGGTGAACAACTTAAATAAAAAACACTCAATAAAAATACATAATAAAGTGCACTTTATTGTGTATTTTTTTTTAGTTTATTTAAGTTGTTCACCCTTAGCACAACACTTTCTTTATATACATTATGTATTAGTCCTTGTGACAGCTGTATTAGTTTTATTTTTCAGGCTTTGTACTGTATTTTCACCTGGTAATCTGGTAGATAACACACTTCCCGCCTCGGGGTGGCTGTGCTCAAGTTGGCTTTAGATGGATCAAAATGAACAAATATGGGGCCCTAGTGGCACTGAAAGGAAAAAAAAAAATGCTCCCGAGTCAGTGGTGTTACTAAGAGGAAAAATGTTACTCCATCAGTGTCAGTGGGGAAAATATGCCCCTGCCTCAGTGGTGTCTCTGTATGAGGGGGACTGCTTGGGCATTTATATCAGTGGGATGAGGGAAGGGAGCTGGGAGGTGTGTGTGAAACTAAAGGGATCTGGGGGCTCTGAGGGAGGAAGGGGGCTCTAAGGGAAAGAGGAGGTCAAGGGGCTCTTGGAGAGATCTGATTGGAAAAGGAGAGGTCTAGGGCTGAGTTGTACCCCCTTCCTATGTGTACTCTACTCACTCAGTTCACACCTCCTCCTCAGTAAAGCATCCACTGCAAATTAAGGCAGCCTCTCCTTTCTGTTCTCTGGTCCTGTGACATGTAACATGACAAGGGGAGCCAAGAAGAAGGGCAGTCTGCTGTCACTCTCCAGCGACACTATGCTGAGACAGAGCATCAACGGTTGGTTACTATTGGAGAGAGGAGAGAGCAGCCCCCAGCAGCTATTGAGACGCCTGCTCCTTCTGACAGGAGTGACACTGCAGTCCCTCCTTTCCGTGAGGTACTGGAGAACAAAGCACCCAAAGCTCCCAATATGTCCCCCCTCCACATATTAACTCTGCTCCTGGGAAACATGTCCTTTCTGCCCCACCCTTCCTTAACCTACCTACATCCCATAAAGGACCTATATTAAAGTGTTACTAAACCCAGAACCTTGCATTCACTATATCTGGTCTCCCACAGTACATGGAACATAGAAATGCAATTAGTTTAGTAAATATAAACTGCTAAATACATTTTTTCATCAGCAGTATATAGCAGTCTTATGACTTCTATCGGTGTCCAGCAAAGCACATGTTAAAACTCGTAGGAGGAGTTTTCATTCTACTCTGGGAGGGTGCAGGTCCCCTGACCTTTGTCTGGACAGTGCTTATTGGCCCTGTGCTGATCACATGCACTCTCCCAAGGGAAAAAAAAACCCTCTCTAGCACTACACACCAAACCGAGCATGTGCAGAGTGTCTCCACATCAGGAGATAAGAGGGGGACACTGGAAGGGGGGGAGGATCAGAGAAGTTAGGATCAAACAGTGTTTTTACACAGTGCAGAGGATTAACCCCTTAGGGTTCACAGTGAGTATAACAAGTATGCATATACAGACTGATTTTACTGTTGTGGGTTTAGTAACACTTTAAGTTCATCATTCCAGATATGCACAGAAATCTTAAAAAGAAAACATCAAAACCTTCATGTATCTGCATTTGGAAATCGCTGGCTCAGCCAATGAATACAAGGAAATTATATTTAAGGAAATATTATGTTCTATTTCATTTTAATTATCTGCTTTTGAAAACATTTTAGTCTGCTTTTCAGGTTCAGTCAAAAAAGCTATTTCTCGGAACAATGGTCATGAATAAGATCCTGACTTAAAAAAGATTGAAATCAACATGATCTATTTAATACTGCTGCGAGTCAGCTCAGGTTGGGGCTGCTTTTCAGACTGCAAGCTTTTTGCCTATTTATATAGTAATTTTAAGAATATTTGTTATTTTGGGCATCTTCAGTATTTGAAATAATCTGAATTTAAAAGAAAAAAAAATCTGACCTCATTACTGCAGGGAAGGTTCTTCTGTTTTGAGCATAGAACAGGAAGGCGCTTCTAATCTATAATACTGACGGTTAGAAACACTTACAAACTTGTAGTTAAAACAGGCTCAATAAAATCGTCAGAGTGCAGAGGCTCAATCCACCATGTGAGAACCCGCTGTGCTGGCCAGCAGCTGCAGTGGGAGCTGAGGATCAGATGTCCAATATGGCTGCCGCAAGTTCCGGGATTGCTGGAATGCATGCTGTCCAGGAGACCGCAAACGGAAGTGACATGGGTTAGGAACGGGTGTGAATCGCTCTTGAAGAAGGAGCTCTGCACATGCTCCGAAACGCGTCACCGTTCCACGCCCGTTCCTAACCCACGTCACTTCCAGTTGTGATCACCCAGACAACATGCACTCCAGCATGCGTTTCAGCGATCCCAGAACTTGCGGCAGCCATATTGGACATCTGATCCTCAGCTCCCCCTGAAGCTGCTGGCCAGCACAGCGGGTTCTCACATGGTGGATTGAGCCTCTGCACTCTGACTATTTTTTGAGCCTGTTTTAACCACGAGTTTGTAAGTGTTTCTAACCATCATTATTAAAGATTCTTCTGGATATACTGCACTTAGAAGCGCCTTCTTGTTCTATCCTCTTCCATATACAGAGTTTGCTTCAACTCCAAGAAGTGCTGCCCGGTGCCTGTTGTCCAGTGTCTCCTCCATCCCTGGCTGACATCTCTATGTCCACTGCCTCCTCCATTGATGCGCCCTATACATATCCCCCTCTACTGTTTTGAGCACAGCTCTGCTAGTACTACTTGTATATAAAATTGTCACATGCAGAACCCTAGAGGTGCATGCGCTGGTTGAAAAAACTAAACATTGAGCAGAGAAACCTGCATTTAAATACTGTATATTCTCCAGTAATCACAAAGGATATACTGTAAATGCACTTTGTGTGCACTAAACACCTTCGCAAACCCAGATATTACCTTGTAAATGTAGCACTGACATTATTACAGTGCTGTAAGTAGCCAGTGCAGAGAGCAGAGCTGTGGGAGGGGCCCAGCAGATCCACCCACTACAAGCTGCCTGCAGAAAACTACAGGAGGGGGCGGAGACAAGACCATTCACCCTGCC